AGTTATTATTTTGCCTTCATCACTCTGATTGCCCCCGGGACATAGCTCGGTGATGCAAATGATAGAAGTGAGGTAATCTCAGTTGAGGTGGCAGTCGCAATGTGAGGGTTTGATTCCCGCCTCTTACAAGGTATAAAATTGGACTCTTTGTGGACACCAATATGACAGCTTTGTACCCTAAACTGTTGATGTACATCCCGCGATTTATTTCATCCACAATGTTCTAGGGATGGGGCGATCGGGGACCCTCAAGGTTGGGGTTCAACCTTTAATAATTGCGACTCTGATTTGATGAAATTATACAAACAAAATATTAGTGGATCACAAGGAGATTCCCTATTGTCATATCAATTATTGAAAGCAATATGGTGTTCGAGTCCTCGAATTTATTCTTATGGCCATTGAGCATGTTACCTTAGTCAATTTACTTTTAAGTCGTAAAAATATTTTTTCTACAAACAAAATCTATTCACTTCATTTAGGAAATAAGACTTTTTTTAAGAAATAATTTTTAAATACAGCTAAGCATGCTCTTTGTGCAACATGGATGGTGGTGAATCCATGACTTAAGTTCAACTAGGGTAGACTCATTGACCGTTGACAATCAATGATCGTAATAGCGAATTCGTTTATTAATATTTAATTAAATAATATTAAAAATTATTCAATATATATGTAAATGCACTAAAATTAAATGTAAAAATTATATACATATGAAAATATAATCCAATATATTTTCTTAATTGATTTTTTTTTTCACTAATCGTAAAACTACCTAAACATAAATTTTCAAATTACAAATCAAAACTCATAAATGATAAATTACAACTCATAACTCAATTACTCATACAATATAAATTATTTATCCCAAATCACGTATTCACATATTCACAATTCTCATTTCAAAACCAAATTGTCAATTAACTCAGAACATAAATCAATAATTCAGAAGTCATAAGTTATGCATGTCAATATGAATATGATGCTTCCAAATCAAAACAAATCAAGAATGCTCAGTAGCAACTAGCAAGAGATGAACACCGACAAATAAACAGTCAAATCTCTCCATTCACTTATCAATTATCAACCTCATCAATAACTCATAGCTCATAAATAAAAAATAACACCAATCACCAAAATCGGAATTAAAAAAAAAAAAAAAGAACGATTCACTGTTCACGAGTCCGAGTTCCAACTATTTTGGCAGAGGCGAGGAGCCCAACATGGCAGGCAACAACACGGGAGGTCCATGACTCAAGTCATCCGGCACAGCAGGCTACAGCAGCTGCCAACTAGCAAGAGGTGGAGGTGAAGGCGTTGTCCGGTGGAAGTTAGAACGTGGATGAGGGTTTGAAGAACTTTGAAACCGGCCATAAGTTTTTCCTTTCATGTATGCCTTCAAATGGTTTTGGTATATATCATAAATGGATTGGATTGGACGATTGGGTCTGGTCAATTAAAAAGAAGCCTCACAGAACAAGCAACCTCACTAGTCGCCGGTCATCTTCTTCCTTCTACAGTTCTACCTCCATTGTTCCGGCGGAGTCTAGCACGGGCGGCCGCGCCCCCTCGCCGGTGCTGTGTTCGCCGCTGAACATGGAGAGTTACATAGAGTAATTACAGCCCGTTTGACAGGACTTAAAAAGTGAAAAATTGATTCTGAAATTAAAAAGCTGTTTTTGAATATGTTTAGATAATTTT